TGTTTGTGTGATGTTAGCGTGTGATGTTAGCGTGTGTTTGTGTGATGTTAGCGTGTGATGTTAGCGTGTGTTTGTGTGATGTTAGCGTGTGATGTTAGCGTGTGTTTGTGTGATGTTAGCGTGTGTTTGTGATGTTAGCGTGTTTGTGTGATGTTGGCGTGTGTTTGTGTGATGTTGGCGTGATGTTAGCATATGTTTGCGTGATGTTAGCGTGTGTTTGCGTGATGTTAGCGTGTGTTTGTGATGTTAGCGTGTTTGTGTGATGTTGGCGTGTGTGTGATGTTGGCGTGTGTGTGATGTTAGCGTGTGTTTGTGTGATGTTTGCGTGATGTTAGCGTGTGTTTGCGTGATGTTAGCATGTGTTTGTGATGTTAGCGTGTTTGTGTGATGTTGGCGTGTGTGTGATGTTGGCGTGTGTGTGATGTTAGCGTGTGTTTGTGTGATGTTTGCGTGATGTTAGCGTGTGTTTGCGTGATGTTAGCATGTGTTTGTGTGATGTTAGCGTGTGTTTGTGATGTTATGTTAGCGTGTGTTTGCGTGGTGTTAGCGTGTGTTCGTGTGATGTTGGCGTGTGTTTGCGTGATGTTAGCGTGTGTTTGCCTGATGTTAGCGTGTGTTTGTGCCACAGGCAGCGGGCCGGGACAGTGACAGGCTTGTCGGTGAACGTGGCGTGTCTCCTGTCGGTCGTGCTGGAGCCGTACATGCCGTCTGTCAGTTACACCATCCGCCATCAGCTGCAGGCTCCGCCCACCTGCGTCAGCGCAATGCTGCAGAACACGGGAACCTTCATCTGCACTCTGCCCGCCGGACACTCCATCGGCACGGTACTAGCTCCATTAACTTAATACTAACATTTAATATTACTGGTTTAATATTAGGTGTCGTAAGGTGTGAGAAAAGCATTATTAAAAAGGAATATTAACAACCTGAACTTTTTGTTTGTTTTATTTGAATTATTACATATTTTTGACCTCTCCTGCAGGTCAGTCCTTTGTTCCAAAAGCTGGAGAACGAACAGATCGAGGTTCTGAGGAAGAGATTTGGAGGACAACAGGTTTGTAAAAGACATTCATCCATTATTAATCAGGGTTTTCAGGCAGAAACTACAAAATTGTGTTTTCTAGGTCAGACATGCTTATGGAAATGAACAAAGTCGTGAAAATTATTTTAAAAGTAAAAAAATAAAATCAATGATAATAATAAAAGGATAATATTATTAAATATTTATATACATTTTTATACAAGTAACAACATATACACACATACATATTTATTTATAAATATGTTGTTTTATCAGAAACTGCTGATCTTTATAGAATTATTTCTAAAAATGCTTTCAGTTTCTGAGAATTATTCTGAATGCTCCTTTTCAAAATGCAATCATTTATGTATTAGCGGTTTAATTTTTCTGCTTTGTTTCCCCTGGTACAACCTATTATTCATACAATCAATAAACACAAGGACGAAAATGTGTATATAACGTTACTTTATCAGTTCGAAATAGCTCTTTGTGAGCTTTATCTTTATAAAATGATTTGTAAAAATACTCGTGCATGACTGAAGAAGTTATGGAAGCCCACTGGACGAAAGATATAAGAAAGAGACATTATATCAGCAAACCTAATAGATCTGATGAAGATCAGCTTCAGGTTTCATGTTTTTTCTCTTGCGCTTGTTTGTCTGATTGTGTGATTTAATCTGCTCTTTCTCAGCCAGAAGAGGAGAGCGCTAAAGTGAAGGTAGATGTGCGTGTGACGCTCTGTGTGCTCGTAGCTTTGTGTCTCTGTTTTCACTAGAACTGACTGTGAAATCGATTCAGTGATGATGTCTATATTCAAAGAGCGGCAGCTCTGGATCAAAGCCCTCCGCTGTCAGTCACTCGCGCACAATCGGCCTCTGGCTGCTCTGAGCGAAAAACATCTGAAAGACGACAAACTGCATTTTAGATTGGTTTTAATGTGTATTTAAGAGCGATGATTTCACAGAGCTGCTCAATGCCTGCGTGTGCTAACATATTAATCACATGTGTGCGTTCGTGTGATCGCTCTCTATTAAATTTGATTACCAAATGTGTATTTTTATCAATAATGAAATTTTCATATAATTATTAAATTGCATTTTTAAAGATTAAAAAATAAATGCATGCATTTTTTGTTAGCAATTAAAATATCTAATGTAATTGGGTCAAAGACGAAAAAGGGTTTAAGCATAAAAACAGTAAGTGTAATACTGCTTTCAATTGTTGTTGTTTTTCCCTAAAAAATTACAACATTTTCTGTTTAATTTAATTGCAATTTTGTTTTTGTTTTTCCGAGCAAAAAATAAATATCATACATTTTCCCCCTGATTTACAGAAGTGAAATGTCATTCAGTGTAACAATCGTGTCAGGCATATTTACAACAAAAATCAATTTATGACATATTAACAGACTTAATTTCTTTCACCCCAAATACTAATTAGTTGTAATTATTTGTTATTATTATTATTATTATTATTTAGTAAGAATTTTTACTCATTTAAAACACAATCAAATGTAATATGCTCACTTATTCTTTTATACATTTTAATATGCACACGTCAGAATAAGCATGTTGTTAGAATTTTTACATAAATATTGTGTCACACTGAATGACAATGTAACATTATTTCAACCAAATGTAACATTTTATTCTCCAAAAACGTATTTGAAACCTTAAAAGTAGACACTTTACTTAAATGTAATGTGCTTTCTATGGACATATAATCACTTTTGTACATTTCTTTTGATGCGGACATCTTAACGTCTTTGACCCAATTACATTATAATTAAGATTTAAAAAATGCATGTGTTTTTGTTAATAGTTAGAATATTTTCTATAATTATTAAATTATATTTTCAAGATGCATGCACTAAATGCATGTTTTTTTTTTTTTAATGTACTTTTTATTAATAATTAAATTATGCCATATAATTGTTAAATTATGTTTCTAATTAAAACACATGAAAAACTAATTCATGTATCATTTTTGTGGCTTTAAATGATTTCCTTTTTCTTTTTTTTTCTGAAAGATGCACACATGATTTTTCTTCTATTTCTAGACTCGAGTTGAGACCAAACCCAGCGCTGGTGCGGCGCTGAACGCTTCGGTGAATGTAAACGCAGATCCAGAGAGAGCCAAACAGCTGACGGCTTTAGTGGCAGAACAAGTACGAACACACACACTCACACTCTATACAATGTATTGTTGGCTATTGCTACAAATATCCCCCAGCGACTTAACACTGCTTTTGTGCTGCAGGGACACATATGTCAAATAAATATACTGAAAAACTGTTTATACAGTTGTTCTTGGCTTTTCAGTGTAATATAATATACTAGTGGATGGTTCAAGCGTCCGTATGCTGCCTTTTTGTCCAAAACACTTATATAGTGGCTAATATATATATTTGCAAATAGGATTTCCCCTTTTCTTGCTGTAATGTTATTCTTATTTTTTTTTGTAATATCATTTGTTCAATTCTAACATTAATGTTACAATTTAACAAATGATATTACAAATAAATAGTAGTATTTGCCTTTCTTTTTTTTTTATCAATTAATCATTGCAGATTTTTTTCTTAAATTAGGCTTTATTTTCTTTAGGAAAAATCTAATTTTCGTATTTGCTTTTGATACTTTTTTGTATCGCCGTAATGCAAATCATAGTTTTAAATGTATTTGTAATGTAGTTTGTTCAATTGTTACATTTATACATCAATTTAGTATTTGCCTTTATGCTGATTTTAATGTTTTTAAAAAAAATTGCATTAGTCATTTTAATTTGCTTTAGAAAAATTCTAAATCTTAATTAAAATGGTTTCATGCAAAATATTAGTTTTTTATATTTTTATTGCTCGTTCTTCAATTGAGTTGTAATTTGTCAAATTGTAATATTCAAACATTGTAGTATTTGCCTTTATGCAGATTTTAATGTTTAAAAAAAATTGCACTTGTCATTTTTAACTTAATTCTGCTTCATTTTCTTTATGAAAAATCTTTTTTTTAATTGGTATATTTAATTGCTCATTCAATTTATTTGTCATTTGTTAAATCGTATTATTCATACGTTGTAGCATTTGCCTTTAAAATGCATCACGCTGATCTAAACAAATCTTCATTTATTTTCTTAACGAAAACCGATTTTCTTCTCCTGTGCTTTGTATTCGGGCCGAGTTTGCTCGAGTTTGGGCTCCACACTCTTTCTTTTCTACGTCTCAATCTGACTTTCTCTTGCTCTCTCGCGCTCAGCGAACCTCCTCTCTGTCCCTCGTGTCTTTGATCTCCCTCTAAACGTGCATTTCACGGTCAGCGCCAATCCCTTCGGCCCCTGGGCTCCTCCTGTCGCTCCTTCACCTCCTGGTGTTGACGAGTCTCTCGATGAGTGCCCGGCGCGTCCGCTGCACCTCCTCTCCCAGCCGCTCGATCTCACAGCAAACACTCAATGTTCAGTTACAGTCAGTTCATCATTGATTCAGTGACGTCATCGTCCAGTTCAGTTCAAATAGTACCCGTGCATTAGGGTTGGGTCTCGTTTTAATTAGATCGATTCTTCTCATCGCAGATTCGATTCCAATGTGGTTAAAAAAAATCAAGTCAAACATTTAGATATCAAGCATATTTATTCTGTGTCTCTTTTTGCAAAACATTAAATTGCTGCTGAATACCGTGAACAAAAATCAGCCGGCTACATAAAAACTGGATTAAGAGCTGCTTGTGTGCAAAATAGAGCTGTTGTAGTTCGCTCACAATTCTGAAGAAAAAATATTAGACAACTAAACAAAATCTCATGGAATTTATGAATGGAATGATTCAATGACTCACTCGAGATTTACTCGCTTCATTACTGGATGATTCAGTGTTTTTGAACGAATCTCTTGAATGAATGATTCAAAGACAAATACATTTTTAACAGCCCCTTTTCGCCACCTAAAAAAAAAAGAAGATGTGCACAAGAATTTAAATTAAAATTTTACAAGTATTCGATTCTGGAATTGGAATTGATTTTCGATTCCCAACCCTAGCGACCGTTGAGCGCCGTTCGACGTTACTGACCTCGGAGGAAGGCGGGGCTCTTGTGAGTTTGGCCCCGCCCGCGTCGGAGCCCAGTATATCCTGTAGGTCTTCATACCACGCCTCCAACTCTGCACCACACAGCGGCCCCACGCCGGGGGGGCACAGCCACTCCGCAGTCATCGCACCAATCAGTCGCTATCCACAGACACAACACGATATGCTCCCACACCAAGCACACCACACCTGATCGGGAAAAAAAAAACTAAGAAACTGTGCAAAAGAAGTAGAAAACAACCCCGTGTGCCTTGCTGCACGTCTAGTGGGAGCTTCAGTGCATCGATGCATCAGCGGAGCGAAGCTTCACCTGCGCCGGCGGGTTTGGGAATAGCTGATTTATCTGGGTGACCCGCTATTATACGCAACGTTAAGATTGACTGCTCGGCCACCAGGTGCAACAAGGACACATAGCGGCCAAACAGCGTTACTGCACAACAAAGCCAGCGCTTTGAAACAGTGCATGCATGAACTGAGAAAGTTTCTGTTTAGAATTGTATATATATGTGTGTGTGTGTGTATATATGTATATATATATGTGTGTGTATATATGTATGCGTGTTTATGTGTATTATGAGGACATATTTGTATAATAACATGGGTATGACGGGTATTACAATGAGAAGGTGATTTATGAGGACATTTTCAGTGTCCCCGTAATTTAAAAGGCTTCTAAATCATTCAGAATGAGTTTTTTTGAAACTCTAAAAATGCAGAAAGTCTCCTGTGAGGGGACATAAATGTGTATAATGACAAAGGTATGACAGGTATTACAAGGAGAAGGTGACTTTTCAGGACATTACCCCATGTCCCCACTTTTCAAAACGCTTATAAATCACACAGAATGGAGTGTATTGAAAATCTGAAATAGCAGAAAGTCTCCTGTGAGGGGTAGGTTTAGGGGTAGGGTTGGTGTAGGGCAATAGAATATACGGTCTGTACAGTATAAAAACCATTACGCCTATGGAGAGTCCCCATAAACCATAAAAACCAACATATGTGTGTGTATAATATATATATATATATATATATGTGTGTGTGTGTGTATAGGTTTAGTGCTGTTTTTTAACCATTTAGTTTAGTTATTAAATAAGTATTTAAATAAAAAAAAATAGATGAATGCTATAAAAATGCTCACCTCAAAAGTGTCTCTTGTCAATCAAGTTTGAATGTGAGCTGTTGGCGGTAAATTGTCCCAATGATTCTAGAGAAATAAAACATGGAAGAGCTCAAGCCACAGGTCATGGTTGCAAAACTATTTAAAAATCAAATTAATAATTCTCATACAAAACATTTCAGCCGAGAAACAAACATGAGCCAGAAAGCACAATGGAGAAAAACGGAGGAATGCTGGATCATTAAACATTTTTAAATGTTTCATAAAATGACCGATAGCGATTACTGATAGTTTAATCTAAAATTAGGTCATTGTATATTTTTTTTAATGTAAACAAAGGCGCACTGTGTGCTCGATGGCGCCCCCTGCGTGCGTCAGCGTGCGTCAGCGTGCGTCTGCGTGCGTCAAAACAACCCAACGACTCAATCTCAGCGTGTGAACACATTCAAGTTCAGGTAAAAAAAAGCGACAAACACGCTACTTTAGATGTCCGCGTGAGAATGAAAACAGCCCTAACATAAACACCTGAGGCACACCCGTGTTTTATAATTGTTTTTAACATAAATCATAACGCGGAGTGAAGCGATTTAACTAAAAAAAAAAGTTTTTCTATTATTAATTATCAATAAATCATTTAAAAACGTTGTGCTGTTTATTTGCCGTTGTCTAGCTGTACTCCAACCGCGACTAAAATGCAAATCGATTATTTTAAAACGTCTTCTTATGTCACTTAAATAGTTTAAATGAATGTTCGTTTATACAGCGCGGTAACTGCGTCCAGCTGGAGCGGCGCTTCATTAAACGGACAGCGAGCCAGTGACGTCATGGAATCAAAGTACAGGCGCGAGCAAACAAAGGCGCGCGAGGAAACAAAAACCGTTAAAAATCAAAATAAGTTTTGCCGCGGAACTGACAGCTGTCATCGCGTAGCAGCAAGTAACTCTAAAGTAAATACTATTTAAACAGGAACAAACAGCGCAACCGTGTTGCGTTATGATACAGAAAACGGACGGCAAAAAAGGGGAAAAAAATTCCTGTGACATTTGAGTTGAGCAGCTGTATTCCTAAAGGAAAGGCTTGACATACACCAGAAGGAAAAGTAGAACAGAACACAATAAAGAACAGAGATGACACTCACCCTTTTCTTTTTGTTGTTTCTTTTCCTCGGCTGTTTCGGATTCAGCGTCTGTGCGTGTTTTTGTAGAGGTTGTCGATAGCTCATGTTAACCATTGTTCAGCTGAAGTCACCGAGTGTGGGTTTCGGAAACTCCCGGGAACATTTATAGAGAGACTCCAACCGAACTCTGGGGGAGGATCTCACGGCGCAACCTAGTGGAGATTATGGGGAACTGACAGGAGATGGACGGTGGCGTGCACCAATCGCGCGAGGCGGTGGAAATTCTTCTGCTTGGAGACATCCAATCAGCAGCCGCGCTGGGCGGGAGGGGCGGGACTTGATGACTTTGCTGGTTGGGTTAGTGTGAGCAGCAGGAAGATGTGATGCAGTCATGAGACGGCCAGGACGAGTTTGGGGCGTGAGGGAGTCACATGAAAGGAATGATGCAATCGCTGGCAACCGGTTTCTAGTTGGAGATAACACTAGCAGAGCCCCAGCATGTTTTATTAAACAACCTTTCGTTAAAAAGAAAAAAGTGGCGAGCTACCTTATAAGGAGGATGTAGGAAAATGTTTCCATTTCTGCTTGCGTTCGCATATGCGATGCGTTTGTTTCCAAATGCATCCAGTTGAGCACTATACAATGAGGATATTCCAGAGGAGCACCTCACTCATTTCACTCCAGACAACATGCACAATCCGTATAAACCACACAGACACCGCATCAAACAATAAAACACGCGAATGGTTAAACTATATCACACACCTGATTACCAAAGCAGCCCATAAAGTGAGGTCGAAATGGTAAAGGTCAATAGATTAGTTTTTAAGACTCTTTAAACTGTCCATATAGTATTTCCCCCCTACCTACATAGGGCACTTAAACGTGTGAATGTTTCAAAACATTATGCAAGTTTTCAGTATGCTGTCATTTGGTTATCCAATTTAGTTACAGGTATTAAACATTCTAATTGCTTTTAAATGATATGCTTTATTGCGTTGACCTGTAAAATGTCCACGGAAACAATGTAACCGTCTTAAAGACATGTTTTCCCAACGTGGGTCCTATAGCCTAGACATGGGGAACTCCAAAGCGTGGATGTTTCAAAACAATATTCCAATTTTCAGAACGCTGGTTGTCCAAATGTAGCATGTGTACAACATTTTATTGCCATTTAAATTAAATATTTCCCATAGCGTGACCTGCAACTTGTCCAGGATTTCATCTGAACCTATAGAAACGCCCTAAAGACAGTATTTTCCCAACATGGAGATCACAGGGCACTCAAAACATGGATGTTTCAAAACAATATTCCAATTTTCAGAATTCTGTCAATGTTTATCCAAAGTAATTGTTTGAAAAAGAACACGTAGCACTGTTTTAATGGCTTCAGGTGTCGGAGAACCGCCCTGAATATGTTTCCCAACATGGGTCCTAAAGCCTAGATAGGGCGCTCGAAAGTGTAGACGTTTCAAAACGTGCAAACAGCTTTAATCTGAACCCATGGATCCACCCTAAAGAGAGTATTTCCCAACATGGGTAACCTAGACTGTCGTGATTAACTAAACCTCCACGCTTAACCAAACACTGCTCAGATTTCACTGTTCATCTTGTATGATAAATCCAAATAAAATGATGTGAATCAGTTTACAACACCACTGTTCAATTGCTTTAAATGATATATTTCATTAGGTACAGCATGGGCTGACCTCTAAACATGTCCGGGATTTAACATGAACCCTAAAGAAAAAGTAGCCTAATTACATGGATGTTAAATAAAATACTGCTCAGATTTCACCATTGGTCCCACTGTTTAATTGCTTTGAATTCGCTATGACACCAGGCTCTGTATTCTGAAACTCTTCCAAACACAAGTTGAGTAGTTAAGCTTGCATGGTGCAAAGCGTGCAGTGTATTGCCTAGCAACAGCGCAAGTGGGATGCGCGTGAGGTTAGCGAATAGAAAGCTGGAATACTGTTGCTACTAGCACGTCACGATCGCTTGGCTGTTGCTGTGTAGTCTCCTCGCTGCCTAACAGTTATTATCCCCTTCTATTGGCAGGTGGTGCTTTTATCCCCCAAAGTTGTGTTTACCCGACATTCCTTTGAACAGGTTTAACTCTCAACAACTCCCAAATATCGCGCGTTTGCAGATTAAGTACATCTAACGAGCGGATTTAATTTGAATGGCAGTTTGAAGTGCGGGAGCGGGAAAAACCGTTAACGTCGTTTTTTCCTTAAATAATCAAAACACGGCCGATCGATATTTTATGCGCGTTTTATGTTATACAGATCATAAATAAATAACTAGATAACTATAAATCGTGACTGTTGAGGAACTACGTTTATATCGTTTGAAGTGTATTGACATCGACGAGAGCCGGCTTCTCAAACGCCTGAATGAAAACCCTCTCTGTAGTGACGTAACACACGACAGATTTATTACACAACTAGTGTTATTCTAAAACAATGCGGAACAGTGCGCAGTTCTCGCGCTCCTCCTAGTGGGATTGTGTGGAATTGTACGGAATTCCCGACCCGACAGGCGGCAGCTACTGCGCATGCGCGGACGAAAACTCCATGTTTTTTTTTTTTTGGCACGGGATCCTAAGGAAAAATAGGAACTTGGAGACGGAGATCAACTAAAAGCGTCCTCGCTTTGACTTAAGCAGCCCCTCGCTCGCATACGCGCTCAGAAAAGACGTTGAATGAAGCGATCGCACGCTCCGCGGCCGAGCAGGACTCACGCGAAATTGGACAACAATGCACGGGGCGCAATAAAACCTAGCGTTATTGCTCTTTGTTTTTAAGCAGGACGGCTCGGATGAAGTGGCTAAACGCCACACGGCGTTCATAACAGCTCCAGGAAACTTCGTAAACACAGAGGTACGTAGCCCGCGAGCTAAAGAAAGCTAGCAGCGCGAACTGCTTGGTTATAATCGCGGTGTTATTACGTGTCCAGTAAGCTTGCAATACAGATAGCATGTTTAAGACCGGGCCAGCTAGCCGTCAACACGCGACGTTTGTTTATTCTTCGGGACGTTCGGTGTTTAAAAGCACCAGCGCGATACTCAATGAAGTACATACCTATTTTCGTTTCGTAGTCAAGTCCAAGTTTCCCCCGAAACTTTGCGTAACGTTACTTTTATTCGTGGTGGTTTGTTTACTCTTTAGCGTTAGCCGCGTTGTGCCAGAATAAAAACCGTTAAAATGAAATGGTTTAGGCGGTGACATCATCCCGATTACTTAAATTTGAATTTTTGCGTTGGCGCGCTGGGTGTTCGTTTCAACTGTCACTTTTCACTCTACTGTCTGTCAACCATGTGTCAAGAGATGTAACGGTACACTGATTAAAAAAAAAGTAACGTACCGGGGTTTGGACTTGTACGCTACTAGTATTATGGTATTTAGTGCCTGAGACCATTGTACATGAATATGATGATGAAATAGTACCTTCTGGATCAATATAGTAGAAATTGCTATCTTTGTTTTCCATATTTGTATTGAAAATAGTTATAAACCGTTTATATTCTTTACTCGGACTATGTCGATGTCGTCTGAAATATCTTTTTCTTTACTTTTTCAGATTGTCAGCTTCTGGAGAGTTTCGCAGGAGCATCCCAGTCCGTTTGAGAGGATTGTGTGTCGAGATATATTTGTTGTGTATCGTTAATGCTGCGTAAATGTCCTCCAAAGAGTGTATTTCACGATTGGTGCTGACCAAGGCTGTGTGAAAATGAAAAGGTACTGTATGAAGTTGCAGAAGGCCGTAACATCGTACATACTGCAGTCTTGGAGTGACAAATGCATTTAATAAATGTAAAGAATACGCATTAACCCATTGTGCATTTGAACCCATTTTACCTAGTTAAGTGTTAGCTTTTTTTTTTCAAACAAAACTGAAATGTACACACTCCACTGATTTTATGTAAATATAGTTGTCACTACATGATCTGTTCTTTATGGATGCATACTGAATCCAGAATAGTCACAGATTAAACGCTCAGAAGTGGAGTGACAACTGTATTCAGATGCAGTGTGGACATATTTTCCAACTGGAAATAGGTGTGACGTGCAAGTCAAATCTGGTTTGAAACGGAATGTGGTTCATCAAATGTAGTTTGAAACTGAATCTGGTTCATCAGATGTGGTTTGAAACTTAATCTGGTTCATCAGATGTGGTTTGAAACTGAATCTGGTTCATCAGATGTGGTTTGAAACTGAATCTGGTTCATCAGATGTGGTTTGAAACTGAATCTGGTTCATCAGATGTGGTTTGAAACTGACTGGTTCATCAAATGTAGTTATAAACTGTATCTGGTTCATCAGATGTGGTTT